GCCCAATGTGGGACTCGATCCCGGGACTCCAGGATCATGACCTGAGCCGAAGGCAGTCGCTTAACCAACTGAGCCACCCAGGTGCCCCCTTAAGGATTTTGTTTTTAAAAGCTAATCTGTGGGGCGCCTGGCTGGCTCAGTCAGTAGAGCATGCAACTCTTGATTGCAGGGTTGTGAGTTTGAGCCGCACATGTGGTGTAGAATTTATTTACAATAAAAATTTTTAAAAAGCTACTCTCAGAATTTAGATACGAATTTTATACTTCCATTGTAAATGCTCTGACTAAATAAGGCTTTATTATCAGTGTCATAATGACACTGTTAGGTGTTTGATAGTCATAATGACCTTGGCAGGAGGAATTGGAAACTGTGGTCTGTTTAAGACATAAGATCAGTGACCTAACCCAGGAATGATGCCTTGTGTGTTTGCTGTTAATTTTGGCAACCGAATACTAAGAAGCTAAATGAACAAAGACTATCTCTTTACTTTCTTATATAGTGAAATTATTATTTATAGAATGTAAATGTACTAATTATAGTAAGCTTGAAAGGAAAAGAGGACATTTCTTTACATTACTGATACTTTAGTTTGAGTTATCCAAAGGTGAAAAACCTGGAGATAAATATATCCAATGGTCTCCCGCCTCCCACCCCCAACAACACACAATCTTAGCGTGGCTTCATTAAGTTATAGGTCAGCTTGGACATTTATTTGGTGTTTCAGATTCTATTTAGTCATAAAGAATGGCAGTGTGTTAAACTGGATAAATTTGTGACATAATCGCTTCCTTCTTGGTACCAAATAACTAAAGACTGACTTTTCCCCAAGACTTTTTTTCATATTTTCGGTTTTCTGCTCTGGTAGTCTGAGTAATTAAAATATTGTAAATATAGATTGTCAAGTTTGGTAAAACTATGGGAAAATACAAAGAATTAAAAGGAAGAATATTAAATTTCACTTTTTGAATGCAGTATATTCCTGGACTCTTAATTCTTATCATTGCTTATAACACATTGTAGCTTCTTCCTCAAATTCTTTTTTTTGGTAAACATCACATTTGTATGATAAATTATTTTACTAGTATGTTGAAAGAAGCTTTAGGAAATGCTTCAGATGTTATTTGAAAGTAAAAATCCCCATACCGTTGCTGAAAATCTTTTTTTTTTTTTTTTAAGATTTTTATTTATTTATTTGACAGAGACAGCGAGAGAAGGAACACAAGTAGGGGGAGTGGGAGAGGGAGAAGCAGGCTTCCCGCGGAGCAGGGAGCCCGATGCGGGGCTCAATCCCAAGACCCTGGGATCATGACCTGAGCTGAAGGCAGACACTTAACCGACTGAGCCACTCAGGCGCCCCTTGATGAAAATCTTCTAACATTAGGTACTTGGAATGGTTGCCCAACTCTGTGAATTTACTAAAGTCCACTGAATTGTATACTTTAAAGGAGTGACTTTTATGGTATGGGATTTATAACTCGATAACGCTGTTTAAAAATCTTTCTGTAAAGGAGCACCTGGGTGGCTCAGTCAGTTGAGTGTCTGACTCTTGGTCTCAGCTCTTGATCTCAGGGTTATGGGTTCTATGGAGCCCACTTAAAATAAATTAATTAATTAATAAAAATAAAATCTTTCTTGGGTGCCTGGGTGGCTCAGTTGGTTAAGCATCTACCTTTGGCTCACGTCATGATCCTAGGAACCTGGGATCAAGCCTGCATTGGGCTCCCTGCTCAACGGGAAGCCTGCTTCTCCTTCTCCCTCTGCTGCTCCCCCTGCTTGTGCTCTCTCGCTCTCTCTAAAATAAATAAAATCTTAAAAAAAAAAATCTTTCTGTAAAGTGAGTGTACCATTGATACCAAAACTTGGTAATATTGTACACGCACAAAAAAATTATAGCCTAATATCACTTATTACCATCAATAAAAATTCCCAAATAAAGAATTCTCAATCAGAAGAAATAATCCCCAGACTGTAGTTCTTTTAGGGTAAAGTTGATTCAGGTTCACTTAAAGTATAATCTATTGTTGGATAAGTTGTTTAATTTTTATTTTCCACTTTTCAATAATAAAATTTTAGTTCCAAGAGTGGTGAATTAAGGAAGTAAGGCAAAACTGATTGTTGCTGGAGATGAGAGTCTAAAGAGTTGCGGGAAGATTCTGGCTGGTGAAGAGGCAGTAGGAAAAGGCAAAGGAGTGGGAGCTGAGAGCACAGCCCATTCTCCGATTGTTCATAAGCTTGGGGAGGATCAACCTCTAAGTTACGCTGGTAATGTGAAGGGCCACTGAGCAGTGACACCCATTTTGAGACATATGCATGTTTCAGATGCTCTCTGTAGGTTCTTTGAACCAAAGAGACTTATAGCCAGCTCATTTTGGAACCAGAAGGGGCTGTAGAGATCATTCAGGCTGACTCCTTTACACACACTCCTTTTTCTACTTCATCCTGAAGGTCAGAGGTCTCAGTGAACTTTTTTGAGATTATTTGACTGTTGGTAGAAGAGTAGAAACTACAACCCACACCTTTTATAACCCAAGGTCATTAATCTTTATTTCTGCCAGAGGCTTCTTTCATATGATTTCTCTCACAGGTTTAGTACTATCTATCTATCTATCTATCTATCTATCATTGTATCCTAAGGAGAAGTCCTCTTAGGAAAGAATTGTCAAGACTGTGAAGCACCGGGGGTCTGTTTTGGTGAGGACAACCTGCCCTCTCTCTTCAAAGTAGGATCTTAAGTGCTCTTTTTTAAAACAGCATTACCTTTCTTTTCTTCTTTTCTTGGCTCTTAGGTGCTGAGTTATTTTCATCATCAAAAGAAAGTTCGTCAGGGAGTGGAAGAGATGCTTTACAGATTATATAAACCCATCCTTTGGAGAGGACTAAAGGTACAGCTATTAAATACTCCATCCATGTTAAGAACATGCTAATTATGCTTTTGAATTTATTGTGCTCTAATTCAGAATTGTGATAAGGCAGTATAAATAAGACTAGAAGCTGGGGGCTTTGTGAAATTTTGGGATAAATGTTTTATTCTTTTATTAAAAACATTTTTAGGCCTATTAGACTGGGAATCTGAATTGGTTTAGGCTGACTCCACAGTGGGAAGGGGGTTTGTCATGCCATGTGAACCAGCAGAGGCATTGGGGGTCTGCATAGCTGAGCTGGGCCATCCTGGCCCTCAGGACCTTCTCTTGATGACTGAGACACAGGATGACAACCTTCCAGGGGTGCTGGAATGAACATGAGTAACTTTCAACATGGTAAATCTAGTGTTGGGAGAGAGATAGTCACTATTTCTTAGTGACATAAGGTGGACTTTGAGGCAAGGAATCAGGTCTTTATTTTTTTAAGAAGATTTATGTATTTATTTTAGAGAGAGAGTGTGTGTGGGGGGGAAGGGGCAGAGGGAGAGAATCTCAAGCAGACTCCCTGAGTGGGGAGCCTGACCTGGGGCTCAGTCTCATGACCCATGAGATCATGACCTCAGCTGAAAGCAAGAGTTGGAGACTTAACCAACTGTGCCACCCAGGTGCCCCCAAAACACATGGTTTGTACTCTTTTTTTTTAAGTAGGCTCTATGCGTGGAGCCCAGCATGGGGCTTGAACTCATGACCCTGAGATCAAGACCTGAGCTGAGTTCAAGAGTCACATGCTAACTGACTGAGCTACTCAGGTGCCCCAGGGTCTTTTAATATCTGTGATTAGCGAGCCACGAGTTTGGTTTAGCTCACGGAAGGTCTCCTAAGTTTGGTCAGTTAAAAGATTGTGATTGTCTTTAATTTGTAAGTAAGTCTGTATTGAGATACTTAGAAGCATTATTTAGGAAATCTACACTGAAGCCTTTGAATGTTTGCTCCTTAGATTCTGAAACACTCTTTCCTTATTCCAGGCCCGAAACTCTGAAGTCCGGTCAAATGCTGCCCTGTTGTTCATTGAAGCATTTCCTATTAGAGATCCAAATTTTAATGCTATTGAAATGGATAGTGAAATTCAGAAACAGTTTGAAGAACTCTATGTACGTATTGCATGTGGCTGAGTCCCCTACGATGTCAGCTCCCTCTGGGCCTGGTGTGGGTCCTGGCTTCCTCTGTAACTACCTGTGTGCTGCCCTCTAATGGCAGGCTTTCCAGATCCTGACATTCTTCACAGAAATCCGTGTTCCCCTGGTGCCTTCTGTGACAGCGTGGACCCAATTGTGTTTTATTCTTTTTCTCTTTGTCACCTTTGGAACACCTAATTATTTATTACTCTATATAGTTTT